CATGGGAGCACCTAGATGCCCCCATGATAACCCGCGCAGGGGCATTCTGGACTAGTTGAAGCTTCCGGGTGCTCTTCAAGGGCAGCCACATGTAGAGAGCGCTACAGTAGTCCAGGTGAGAAAGGACGAGGGCATGAGTGACTGTGCATAGAGCATCCCGATCCCGGAAGGGGCGCAACTGACGTACCAGGCGAACCTGGTAAAAGGCCCCCCCTGGTCACGGCCGTCAGGTGTTCTTCTAAACTAAGCCGCGTATCCAGGAGGACTCCCTGATTGTGGGTTCTCTCTGAGGGGGGTAACGTTTCTCCCCCTATCATCAAAGATGGAACAAGATGCACAAATCGGGGAGGCTGCTCTGAGTGTCCATCTCTATATAAATGTCCTTGCTCTTCTTTTGGTCTTTTGCTCAATTGATGTTTCATACTTGGCTGTATTTTTTCCAGGAAAGGAAGAAAATAGTCAAAGAAGCTCAGAGGGAGAGGAGGAAACACAAGACCCCGAAGCACGTAAAGAAGCGGAAAGAGAAGGTGGCAAAAATGAAAAAGGGCAAATAAAGGCGGGTGATCCTTTTTTTAAAAAAGTTTTTCTTGTTTTAGTGAGTCGCTATTTTGGAGCGGAGTCCATTTTGTTGCGTATCAACAGAGCACCGTGAACGGGCTAAATTGTTACCAGATTGACTTGTTCCCGTGCGCTCCTGCAGAATCAGAAGCTCCCGCTAAGAATATATTCCCGTGGAGAAATGAAAACAATTCCACAAACGTTTTTTTAAAAAGCAATCCAGAGAAATTGATTGCAACATACAAGTGTATATTTTGTACTTGCATAGTGTCACCTGTTCTAACCCCCCCCCTCCCTCCGTCCAGGAACGAAAGCCGAAACCAACGTAAATGAGAAGGTTTCTTTTAATCAATCCAGACTCGTTGGCTGCAAGCCACATAAACAACGAGATAAGCACTCTGGCAGCAAGTCCTACAAAACGTGGCAGCAATGCAAACAAATCTGGCAGCAATCCAGCCTGCCAAGTTTGTTTCTTGACTTCTGCAGAAAGGCGTGGCACAAGCAGTCTCTTTTATAATCAGGAGAAGATCTTAATGAGCATCAGCTAAGTGTAATCACCTCTTGTAATTACACCATTGTTCTTGACGCCGAGTAGCCCTTCGACGGCGTGCCTCCCGGAACAACTCACAGGTGTTTTCTGGATCACTCCCTCTTGTCTCCTCCCCACTGATCCAAGACTCAGACACTACCTGGTGACCAACCAGTCTCTCCTCGCCCTGCTCGGAGTCGGAACCCTGTCCAGGGTCCTCCACCTTCTCCAGGGCCGACTCATAAGACCCCTCGCTGTCGGAGTCTGGCGGCAGCTGCAACAGCTCCTGCCGGGCCACAACAGTCACCCAACATGTAAATAATTCCTTTCTCGTTCCATGATCAATTAGACGCATGGGTAAATAATGTGTGGGAAGAGTTTACATAGCATTGTTCATTTAAGCCGGGGACGTGCAGGGGATGGCCCTGCAGACATAGGATCCCACCTCTTAAAATTTCTCTTTCCATGCTGAGGAAGGCAGAAGGGAATTGGAGTTTGGCAACACCTAGAAGACCAATCAGTGACCTTTATGATGAAAACTGTTCATTCAATTTCAGTGAATTGTCTGCATGAAAGATCGCTTGTACAAAGAGGAAGAGTGAATGAGGTCTTGCTAGCAAATATATTCCTTCTCATCCTGTCCATCTGCAGCATTGACACTACATTTGGGAAGTGGGGTGTGTGTGTGTTTCAGAGCAAAACCACACTTATAAATAACATGGTTTTTTCACACTGGATGTGTGCTCCATAGGTTACTTCTTGTATTCTGTTTATCAGTCAGTTTTACCTGTTTGGCTGCATTGTAGGGAGCTTCAGGGGAGTCCTATTGCCTAGGTAACAGACTAACAGATTCCTCCTCCTCTTTCGGGAAATGTGATCTTTCTTCATTGTGCAAGTTTATGAGTAGAGTGACCTTTCTGTGATCAAGAGAATACTTCTGTAACTGTTCTTGATTTGAGTTCAATTTGCTTCACCATGGATGGAAGCATTGTAAGGATACTTACAAACTGAGTTGACGCCAAAGATCAATTGTTCACATTCATTACTTAGTTGTTTCCAAAAGTTGAAATCAAGTTCAATGATGGGGCACTAGCATCCTCAAAACATTATTAATTAATGTTCTGAACTATTAATGGAATCGCTGAACTTTATCAAATTGGTTTTATCCTGATTAAAAACTGCAAACTACAATACTTGGCTCAGATGTTTAAGGGGCAGCAATATTTTAACACCATTGCCAACTGGTGTCATTTTCTTTGAAAATAAAACTCAAATATTCTACAATATGTTTATGTGTTGATTTTAAAAAACCTTTATTACTCTAACCCCAGTTTTATAGGAATAATAACAAAGACGTTTCATGTAGAGATACATTTGACAGTATTGTTTTCATTTTTAAAAAGTTTGAATCGCCTGGTTTGAGAATAAATATGGGCGACTGTGGCATTTTGGATGTTGAATGAATATATATTTAGCTTAAACACAAAATCATTTGTAATCTTCACAAGAAAGAGGTTCCGTTTTCCCCCCTCTCCCAGTGCCGATAAGGCTCTCAGAGGTCAGCTGTGTAAACACTTTGTGCCCTTGGCTCTTATCACTTTTAATTACAGAACTTTGAAGTACAAAGACCGTGAAATCAAAGGAGAAACAGGAACGAATGCGTAGTTTCAGAAACTCTAGCCTCCGAGTGGCAGTATTGCTTCCTTTCACTCTCTGATGTTGTCTCGGGCTTAAGGGAAACAAAGTTCTTAAATGGAGTTTAATAGCAAATAATAGAAACTTTTGTTAGAGTAGAGAAGGATATTTTAATCCTTAAGTTAAAAAATAAAGCAAGAAAAAGTCGAAGAAGAAAAACCAGTCTGTTCACTTTAAGAAGAGGAGAGAAAAAAAAGTTGCGAGCACTTCAATCCACAAAGTGTAATTACAAAAGGAAAAAAAAAGCATACTAACCAAAACAATCCAATGCAGGTCAATTTCGCCGCTTACTTCTGCTTAAGGATTTAATTTAGCATAAAAAAAGAAGTTTTTGGGGGCAGTCTTTTTCAAAACAGAAAGGATTCCTCACCAGATGGACACACTTTCTCTTTCCGTTTCCTTTCGTTCTGGAGCCGTCCCAACTTCATTAGCCTAGGCTGCCTTTTGTCGCCAGCTTGAAAACTTTTTCTTGGATCAATCAGGGAGTTTGCGGGGTCCCTGAGATCAGCAAGACGTAGTCTTCCTGTTCACCGTCTCTTCGGGAAAGTTTAGGTCCTATTGGATCACCCAGCGGCAAAAGTATCAGCGGCAGTCTTGGAGCATCGAGACCGCACATCCGTACCGTTGCGACGTTGGCCCCTCTTTCATTTTAGAAGACAAGCTGAAAATAATTATTCTGAGCCTGGCTTCAGATAGTGTATTATATGGAGGGAAGATTTAACCATGGTTTGCCAAAATGAAATTGGACTGATTCATATAGAACACTAAGTTGTAGGCTTATCAGCGAAATGAAACATTTTGTTCCGTATTCA